TGAAATCGGTTGAAAACTGCGGGACTAGTTAGAGTCAGAAAAATTTAAAGTGAAAAACAATAAGTGGGAAGTTGTATCCAGGCTATAAAAACAACCCTAACGCCACTAGATGCATGTCTATCAACCTAACAGTTAAAACGGTCGACATTCTTGTTCATAGTTTCACCATAAAAGGTCAAACTAATATACATTCAGCAAAAGAGGGAGAAAAAAGATGAGGAAAAATTGTTAATTCAGTGGAAAAATTGCAACTGTATTTCAAAAAGTATCAGACTAGGGTACTAAAAAGGACATTTTAACTGAAACTGGTTTAATTCAACTTGCATGACCTGCACCAGGGTTTCAGCAAGTGGGTTTAAAGCTTGTTAGTCTTTGCAAGACCCCAAAAAACAAAAAGAGAAAATCATTTCTACTTCTCCTACTACACACCTATCTTTTTATGTTACTCATCTCTGCTTGTGACATGTGTGCAGTACAGCAGGACGGAACTGTTGTCTGTTGCGATAAATGCCTTCTAGCCACAATATAACTTAAATTTCTGGCATACTGTTATTCCTGAGATTCGGCATCCATGGACCGCAGCCAGTTACATCATACCTCTGCTAAAGTGGCATAAGCAGTGCAGACACAGGAATCAGAAGCAGGGCTAAAGAGACTAAGCTAAGGGCTAACCCCGATGATCCCGTGCCTCTTTCTTACCGACGCATACACAAATATGAAGCAACTAGCACTGCGGATCGATTTTCACACTCTAGAATAGTGCTTACTGATTGCCACAGAGTCCTGGCTGGATCAAATAACATCCCCGATGTGGCTATTGAGCTAGCGGACCATGCTGTCTTTAAAGCTGACCAGACAATAGACTCTAGTCCAAGAGTAGACCACAGATGGAACACTAATGCAACCATTAAACACACTCACTGCTATCGAGACATTGAGTTTATAATGCTGTAGTGTAGACCGATCAATCCATAATGTTCTACTGCAGCACAATGACTACACTGTCATCCCCAAAAGATACCTACCTTAACCTACTTAAAAAAAAAAAAAAAGGCCAGAAATATCAGCGCAAACTCCTGATACGTCCTGTTCTCACCACTTCCCTCGGGAAAGACAAACCACTTTTTCATTACCCCACCCCTGCCCATCCCACGCAGGGGCTGATGTTTTTTGTATTGTAGCATTATATGGTGTGTTTTTTTTTTTTTACCTCCACCAAGAAGGTTATGTTTTAGGAGAGTTTGTTTGTTTGTCTGTCTATGTTCAGGATAACTTGAAAAGTTATGGACAAGTTCAACAGGGACAATATAGCAATTCAGTTCAACCAAATCCATTCATATAGCTGCGAGAGTTTTGTTTATACAGCAGAACATCTAATTTTGAAAGTTTTATTTGTAATCTATGAAAAAAAGACCTGGATGAGTTTTCTGACCTTTCCTCCGGAGAGCACAGAATCATCTTCCATGTCATCTGGGAAAATACAAATAAGCATTACATTAGACACAAAGGAGACTGCAAGAAGATGTTTTAAAATGATTAAACTCTATTATGTTATCAAATACACAACACAGCATGCAAATCCATTTGGATACAAACCCAAATCTGCCATATTCCCTCCCTTGACTGGAGTATTTTCACTGTCTTTTTTTGAATTAGCTGTGCATGGGACAGAAGTGAGAAAGATGAACCAAGTGAAACACTGGAGGGCAGATAAAAGATTAAAATAAAAGACCTTCAGACAGCATAACTCAGCCGTAGGCATGAAGGCTTTAACCAACATGAACCAAATTCACCGAAACTGGAGAAAAAAATCGATAGGACCTTAAAATAGATTGAATCAGAGAGAAGAACAGGTTTTTTGGGGAGGAGGAAAGTGGGCCAACACAACTGGGACTCAGCTTAACAAAAAAGGAAAAAGCACACTCAGGTTTGTGTTTGGTATTAAAATAAATCTTAAAATCTGATATCAAGGGAGGAAACAAAACAGCTTTGGCATGCAATGCTTCTTTTTTTTTTGGCATAACCTAACCTTAGAGTTCGAGGATGATATTTTATTCAACACTTCTACAAAATGTATTCAAGTATAAAGAGGTAAGAGGAAAACTACTGGAAATCAGGTGCAGAATCCCCCCCCAAAAAAGAACTTGGATATTAGAAGAAAAACTGAAAAATTGTAAGAGAACTTTCTGCTCCTCCAGTTACTGTGGCTCTTAAAGGCTAGAACAGCAATAACAGAAAACTCTGCTGAGATAGCAGGTTTCGATACTGTGCATAATAAATAAATTTACATTTATCAACAATTCATAATAATCAAAGGGTCCTTTAACACAAAAAGTACTGTGGTGAGGTGTGTATAAACACAGAACAATTAGGGTACATCTACAACGAACGCCAATTCTGCATCAGGTGCGAAGATAAGTGAGGCAAATGGAACGATCCTGGCGAAGGCTGCGGAATCTTGCTTTGCTTCAATTACAGTATTTGAAAATGTAAACTTTTGTTTACATTTATATGGCGAAATCCAGCCTGGGTCTAGATGTTGATGTGAAATACAGTGAAGGGGGCAGCTAAGAGAAGCTTTTTAAAACCAAAACTGAAGACAGAGAGAATAATGTTGACAAAGAATGAAATGGGGTGAGCTGTTAAGAGAATTAAGGTGGCTTTAAAAAAAAAAAAAGCGTTTAAATTTATCTGTAGAATAATTGTTTCTTCATCCTACCTCCAGCACAGACACCGACCAGCTGAGACCCTTTCTCCCCTACTCAGCTGCTCTCTGGTTTCACGGCTCCTCAGCTCTGCTTCTTCCATCTCCCAGTTTGCCTTTATAGGCTAGCCTCCCCTAGCTCGGTCAACCTGGCAGGCTTCTCCGATGTACTGCTCTGCTACTCTCGGCCTTTCATAGCCTCTATCCCACCTTTAGTGTTCCTTCTGCCCGGTGGACTAATGCGATCTTCCAGGTTCTCATACTCTTTATGTAGGTCATTTTGTACCGATTTCCCCCAAGCTCAAGAATGTTGTCTCTGCTTCTCTGTTTTCCTTTTACACAGAATACACCAACATTAATGTTGGTCCAAATGTTCTTAGCTTTGCTGCGTGTACGATCCTGTGCAGATTGAAGTACGAGGAGCCTTGCATCATTATTACTTCTGTGTGCAAATAATATTCGTTGTGCTTTCAGCTAATAGCTGCTAGCTTGTTAGCCTTCTAGACCGAGAGCTTTTCTGAAAAACTTATGTCAACCTCAGACGACACATTTCTAAATAAAAAACAACAACACTTAGCACGTCTGCTTGCAAGGCTTATAATATGCTAGGCAAAACTCTGCATATAATGTCATACTTTTTAAGACCTTTTAAATTTAATACTTAAGAGTTTTTAAGACCTCATTGGAACCCTGCTTATATTGTGCAGCTTTTCAAATACTTTGTCTCTTATATAAATAACATTTGTTTTTTCCTTCAGCTAAAGACAGTTGAGAGTTTGTAACCAATAAAAACAAAACTATTGCTATTTAATTATTTGCAAATCAATCAAAGAGTGGGTCTCCTTAAAAGCCTACACACCATTCTTGGACACACAGCCATCCTCCATGCTGGCACCGGCAGAGGAGTCATCCAGGTCTTTAGTCATGTCCTCCTCTGTGTCCTCTTCCTCTCCTTTGTGTCCCCTTCGCTTCCAATGAGGCCCTGGGTTCCTGAGAGAGTTTGAAGGTCAGTCAAAACAAACTGCAAACTCTCAATAATATGTTTCTGTGTTTCCAAACATAACAGTAGAAACAAGTCTGTCCATAGATCAGTTCTGAATGAATAACAGTTTGATTACTAAATGTGTTTCATTAACAGAACATTTCAAACCATTCTACAATCACTTAAAGGTGGCTTTAAATAGACATTAACCCACAGAAAAATGTTGGAAGAATTCACTATTGTCTTTCTTACCCCTTCTTTCCTCCTTTTTTACGGGACTCAGCTGGAGTGCTGGGCGGCGAGGGTGAGCGTCTCCTCTTCTTGCCAGCAGAGTTTGCCTTGCGCTCCTTTCGATCAGGTGTACGGGAAGACTGATCAGACAAACCCCGTGCAGCGCAGGGAGCGAGGGATGGAGGATGAGAGAAAGAGCGGCAGAATGAGAAGGATGGAACGGTTGCACACACAAGGAGGGGAAGCAGGGGGAGAGCAACGACAGGGTAGGGAGATGCGTTGGTGGGTGGTGGAGAGACAAACAGGGTTCCTGTACACCATCCTGCCACAGAACTGTCACTTTTTACTTAAAAACGTTGGCCTTTTGTCCTGTGAGCAGGTTTTTTCCCCCGACTTACTCTGGTTAATTAAATTCTAAGGAAACTACACAACTACCTATTAAGTAGTTTAATCAATCCAATAATCATAAAAATAAAAATTTGGATGCATTGATGGACAGGAACCCTGACCTTAATCAGAAGTAGACATGGTGCAAGGAAAGGTTTGAAAAAGGTGAGCAACAGACAAAGCCAGATGTGGAAAAGGACGACAAAGAGCAAGGCAAAGCTACAGGCAACAAAATATTCACATCAGAAGGAAGACATGGAAACCTACCTCTTCCTCTTTGGGGAAGATCCTCTGTCGGAAGCTGACCGGCTTTTTGTTCTCGTCCACCTCATAGTCCTCCTCATTCATCCACTCATTGAAGGCATCTGTATCTAAAACCCACTTAGCATGAACCTAGTTAAGCAGAAAGAGGTACTAATGTTAAGAGAGGTACTAATGGTAAATAATCAAAGGAAAGTCTTCAACAAGTAGTGACAGTGATACCAAGTAAACACTTCAAAAAGCCAACACATATCTTATTTTTATATTTTTAATTCAACTGTATTTATGATCAAGTTTAAAACCATTATGCAATGATTGCAAAAGTCAAGATAAAAATACAGACTGCACATATTTAAAATGTCCTGTTTTAGTTTTTGTCTTCATGGAAATCCTGAACTGTAGTTATACCAAATGGTTTAAAATAAAGAAAGGACACTGCTAAGCTAGGGACAATTCAGGACTGTGCCTTTCGACTGAATACAGGCTGTCATTAAATAATCTGTTGCAGGAGATAGTAAAAAAAATATTTTCAAAACTAAAAACATTTGCTAAAAGAGCGATTGCTTACCTTCCATGGTTTTTCATTGCTGGGAGGATCTTCCACATCTCCATCCACCTCACCGGCTGATACCCAGGTGTCGTAGCTAACAAAGCATTAGCAGACAGCATTAGTGCAAAGACGTAAAACTTCTTTTAGGTGCTATAGGTATTATACAAATATAAAAAAGAACTGAATTATTGTTTAAAAATGAACATAAAATAAATGTGACATATCTGGAAAACATAATGGAAAAATCAAAAAATGCCACTGCAGAAAAAAAAATCTGAGCTTCGATGTCACCATTTAATTTATATTTTTGAATTCCTGTTCACCTGTCTGGGTAGAAACCCCAATGAACGAGAACCTGCTTGTCCTTCCTCATGACAGGACGCAGCCACTCCTCTGAAAAAACACAGAATTTTTTTATGTTCAATAATGAAAAGTGAAATTATGTTTCGATTAATTTATTTCCTATATAAAAATATATGTTGTTCCCCGCTCCCAATAAAAACAGTGTTTGCAAAACACTTGCCTCTGTGAAAATCTATTTCTACACCACTAGTAGCTACATTTGTATGTGGCTAAAGAAAAACTTTTCCTGGAAGTTGGATCGTAGAGGGAAAAAAAAAAACAAAAAAAACGGCATTTGAATTTTTATGTAAAATTCTAATTAATCAGAGAATTTGTTAACTCAGGAGGATTGTAAACCCACCTTCATCCTGCTGTGTGAGAGAAGGGTAAATGTGATGAGTTGCTTTTGACTTGTCCTCAGTGACTGAACCCTGGAAGGAAAGAAAGACAAAAATAAGACAATGACAGGGGTAACAAAAACATCAGCATTTGTGATAAGACATTGAAATAATCACTTCCTGGTTTGATCAAAGCTCACCTGGTGCCTTTTAATGATCTCTTTCAGCTTGCTGGCTTGTTTTTGCTCAATATCTGGCGACAGGTAGACGAGGGGCCGAGCCAGGCAGTTATTCTACAAACACATGAGCACTTTCAAGAAACCAGCAAAAAGCTAAAAGACATTAAGTCTAAATAAAAATAGAGCGTGTGGAGACATAACCTTTGTCTACATTCTTGCTCTTACCTGGACAAGGTGTTTTTCAACATTTAAGAACATTTCCACATTTCGGTCCATCCGTGACGGATTCTGCAGGTCGAATCTCCTCCTAAAAATAAGCATCAGATGTCAAAAAAAAAAAACAACAACTCACAAATGGTCCAGTTCAGCTCACAGGAAATAAATTGTTTAATTTGTTGAGCTGGTTAAATTGATAAATTGTGTTAATCTCATCACAGATAAATAAATCCATTCTGCATTGTGTTTCTGATCATCCCAATTACACCAGACATTATAATGAATGTGACAACTTTTAAATTTAGCTGTGTGGAAAAATGCATTAAATAGAGCGAATCCAATGTAAATCTACCTAGATAAAATGGAATTCTGATCATAACGATATTTCATAGATCTTTCTAGTTTATAAGCTGTGGCAGTTTAAGTCAGCCATTTACTTACCAGCCCTGTTCACTTTTGTATTTGTAGACTGATCCCAAGATGTGACAGAGAGTACCTCCAGCCTTGAAATCAAGAAAACACTTGGCCTGGACAGGAAGAGGAACAAGAACAATGTTTTCTATTTGTACTTGGGCTGCAAGGACAAATGGTTAGTTGAGATTCTCCTTGAGAGCGACGAGCATTTGCTTACAGGTAGCTTGGTAAGTGGAGGATTGTTGACCCTGCGTCCAAATGCATCCTCTTGAAACTGAAGCAGTTGGACAACCAGGCCAGCCAGGGATTTACTAGATGGGGAGTCATTTTGGACATACTGGAGGGACAAAAACAAACACAATAATAAAGGCTTATTATAACATCTTGTATTTTAAATTTTTCTTTTATCTTTATTACAAAAAACAACAACAAACTGCTTCCACTTGTCTCAACAAAATGTTTAACCAATTAGGCCAAAAAGGAAAATCCTTAGTTTAACCCCTACCTTAGGAAGCAGTGTGCTGCCACACTATAGCCTCTCTCCCTCCGAAAATAGGGGGTTTAAGCGAGTTTTTCAAACATGGGTCAACCCATAACAACTGCCATTTGCCACCCTTCCCACTGGCAAAAAAAGTCCAACCCCTAGCTGGCAAGCTGAGCCCCTGGCCGATCTGTGTCCTGCTCTGTAACCAGTAGGCTACTGTTTCCCTAGAAATAAGCTGCAATAACATTCCTAGAAACAATAATATACCTAAACAGCATTGAGCAAAAGATTATGTTCAAACATCTGCCTCTCATCCATCCTCGTAAACCATTTATCACTATCTCTCAGTCCCTAATTTTCTGTTGATTTGCTTGAAATGTAAATACAAGTCAAAACAAAGTTAAAGTAAGGTAGAAAATCCATCAAATCCTCAACTCTATTTATGACCAAAGAAAGGAATAATGTGACAGCATGACGTAGGCAATAAGGCCATTATATATTTTCTAAACCCAGCCCACCTGCATTAATCACAAATTCAGCATCTAAATATCCATTATCTTAACTAAAGCCCTGTTTGTAGGTAGAGCAGGAGTGCAAATGTAACACAAAGGTCCCTAAAACAGAAATTATATCAGATTTTCCCAAGTCCATTCCTGCAAAGTGCTGCTTTTAGATGCATCCAACACACCTGAATTCCCTCATCACTATTCACTCACTCAGCACTACAAAGAACTGCTGGAAATCTATTCATCTGGTTCAAGTTCACCTTGAACCAGATGAATGAAACATAATTAAAGGCTCCCCTGAATTATGTTGATGTGAAACAAAATCTGATCCTGCACTTCGCTGAACTCACTTCAAATGAGAGGTTCTTGGAAATTAGTTGATGACTATTATCAGCGAGTTTTTAGCCGAGTTCCTCCTCACTGATGACAAGCCAGTAGGAAAGTAAAGTAAAAAAAAAAAATAAAAACATCTAAAGGAAACATCTGAAACATGCAGGGCAGGGCGCCTTGAGAATCAGGTTTGAAAAACATTGTCTTAATGAACATGTGGGTTAATACATTTTTGGAAAACAGACACAAAACAATGCTCAATTCCTGAGATTCACAAATAAAATGATGTTGCTTATGTTAAAAACTGTTCGTAGCAAGCGTATTTATATAATATGATCTGTGAGAACCATAAATACTTTCATAAAAATAATAATCTGCCAGGGGATTTTATCAGATATAAGATGCAATTTACAGGCAAAAACTGTGGCTAGTTGAACTAAGAATTAACTAATTTTCTTATTCAACAAGTCTGCAATTCTCAGTAAAAAAAACGTTCAATTTTAATTACATTTCCCTGCAGTCCATGCATAAATTGAGGTCACTGTAAGGTGGTATATTGATATATTTCAACACTCGCTCAATTGAGTTCCTGAATGGTATTTGCCATAAATTTGCAACAGGTCCCCGCAGGTTTTTCCATGTATTGTGATTTTCCAGACTTAAAATGCAACACAAATTTATAGAAATCAATGGAGTAAGATAGAAGTTTACTGACATAGATTACATTTACTATATGGGAGCAGATATGTTGCTGCTGCATGAGGAAACAACTTTCCCTCTTATATTCATATTGTGTAACTGGGTTAAAGTAGGTAAATTCAAAGTAAATGTAGTTACTTACGTTGGTTATTAACTTTATCTTGTTTATATTCTCCACGGGGATCGTTCTTTGTTTGGCTAACTGAAGTAGGTAAATGGAGCCTGAGCTATCTGATAGTGTGTTGACAAAACAACCCAGGCAGTTTTTATATTCATATTTTTGTCTAGGTCTGCAAACTGTAATATATTTATCTGCCAAGTAGTTTTAATACCAAAATCAATTTAAAAAAAGGATGAAAGCGCATCTTATTCGTATGATTTGTGTGCATGCTGTCCCGTGACTTTCCGTTAGTTCCTTGGGCCTTTACACATATATATAAGGACTTACGGTATTAATTTTGATTTATGACTGGGTAAAAGTCTGAAATAGGATGTCCACAGTGAAAACAACACGTAGCATATTTCCTGGACGTTCAAATATTCCTCCAGCAGCTTGGAACCGTAATACAACCAGAGCAGTTAGAGAGCTAACTTTAGCTAGCAAGGCTAGTTTGGTTAATTTCCATTTGCGCTTCTGTAGATTCAGTATTTGTCAGTATTTTGGGGTACTTTTAAAAAGTGCAACAACTGTGCAGTCCTAAAAAACTAATAGTATGTCTAAACCGAAAACTCTCTGTCCAGAGTTTGGACTTAATGGGCTAAATATAGAGGACGTAGCATCGCCCCATTGTGCCAACGAGACGCGGCCTTCATAGAAATCAATTGAGCAGGATAGCAGCTAGCTTACCTTCTTGTAGTGCTTTCCGATCCAGAGTCGCACTGTCTCCAGCTGAGAAATAGTTTCTGAACTTTCCCAAAATTTCGTAGAAGGGCCGCCGTCTTTCTTTCGTGCTACTGAGCTTCCACCACCAGCAGGCCCCGAGGCTGATCCGCCTGAGCCCGTCCCGCCTGCCGCTGTCGCCGTCGTCGCCATTGTGTTTAGCTCGCAGTCCGCCTTGCCTTTCTCCTCCAAAGCGTCCCTTACCGTGCAAGTTTTCAAATGATATTGCGCAGCCGCAAAACTCCAACGAAAGGGAACATGGGAAATGTAGGACTCCAGAAACGTTTTCAATACGTTGATTTTTAATCAGACATCTTAAACATCTGTAATCTAAATGCTCTCCACCACTAGAACTGCAGAAACCTCTCTGACGAGAGGTGAAACGTTTTCTAGAAAACTTCACATCCATTTTCCTAAACGGAATATTTATTTTATTTTATTTATTTATTTTATTTGTTGTAAATTTATTTTATTGTATTTATTTATTAATTATTTATTTATTTATTTTTTCTAATAAACTGAAAATTTCAAGCTAGATATTATCTGGGTACCTCGAAAAGAGTTTCCTTAATTTCTTTCTGTCTTAAATTACTTACGTGTTTTATGAGGGCGGTTCTACACCAAATTTATTAGGGGGCCAGGAGGGGGCAAGAGTGTTTTCATGGGGGAAGAGAAAAGCCAGAAATAAAAAATTTGGGCAAGGGATTCAAACATATATAGATAGCTGCATGAAGTGAAATTTCTATTCAATTAGGTTTAATTGCAATTCTATGTCTCATTAGGTCAATATACATTCACAATTTAGAAATTTAAATTATTTTTGTATTGATTTAAGTCAAATAAGTTTAATTAAGAAAAATCCAGCTGTAAAAATTAGAGTATTCTTTTATTTGTTTTGAAAAAAAAAAAAATATATAACAGATGAAAACTGGGATCCTATCTCAACCCCACTAAAGCTATCACCTTATTATTTTTAAATAATTCCCATTGTATTGAATTGATCTGATACCTTTTATTTACTCCATCTTTTTCTTGCTTATATTCATTGTGTTGGCCTAGTGGGTTTGAGAAGTGCTCTGAGAAGGTTGCAAGTGTCCAGTTTGATCCCCACAGCCTGCACTCTGGGTTCCTGAGCAAAACCCTTAACTCCCACACTGCTCCCCGGCCGCCACACAATGGCAGCCCACTGCTCCCCAAGGGGATTGGTCAAAATGCGGAGAATGAATTTCCCCATTGTGGGACAATAAAGAGATTTACAAAGTCTTAATCATAGGCCTATTAAAAAAGTAACAGAGGCAAATTGAAATCTCAAACACATCTGCCCCAATTTGGTTCAATTTTCCTTTAATCTAGCCATTGTAAGGAATAAGTAATAACAGCTACAATTTAACTGTTTTATAAATCTAAATCTTTACATGTCCAAATTGTATAATCCTAACCCCTCTACTTGTTTTGCATTTTCTGTCCACTAGATGGCACAGTACAACACCTGAAGCTTTGACTGATGTTTTTGCCGTCACCAGTGTTAACCCTTTATAGGGCTCTCAGTAAAATACTTTAAAAAACAAAATTTCAAGCCAGCAGTGTTATTGGAGGACAGGAAACCATCTTATTACTTTTGTAAGATTCACAAAAAATATTTATATTTTTATGGCAAAAATTAAGGTCAATTTAACAATAAGAAACGGCCACTTGCCCTTTTATTAAGAAAAAAAAGTGCATCTATAAGAAACATGTGAAAAACACTCAGACTGAAAGAAACATTTTTTTTTGTTACAACATAACCATAGAACCTTAACGCTGTTAAAGGCTCTTTCATTTTTTTTTTTTAACTAAGCTTATTAACTTTTTTACTTAACTTTTTATTAGTTTTTACTTTTTTTTCTTAACTTCCTAACTCTTTTTCAATTTTCAGTTAATAATGTATAAGTATGCATATGTAAGGGGTATGCAACTGCAACTTGCCCCCATAAAGGATTAAATAAACTATGCTATTTTTGTAAATACTGTCCATAATTTTAAAAGTCAATGACTTAATTTGACCATTCAAAAAGCTAATCAACAGTACTAGGAATCAACTGTCTAAAGCCTAATTAATGTCTGTTGTGGTAAATCCTGCTTAAAAATATTATTGTATCGCTGTTAATTAGTTTCAAAACATAGACAATTTTTTGATATCTTTAAGCTACTTTGACCTAATTTCAAATACCTCAAGATAAAAAAAAAGATTCTAAAACTTCTCACAAGGCTTGAATCGTTGCTTGTTTATTTTTATAAAACAATAAGATTTTTTTCCTCTTTCTTTCTCGTCTTACCCAGAATTCAGGCGAGACAGAAAGAGGGAAAATTCTGAATTCTGGGTTGCAGAATCCTTCATTCTAATTAAATGAAGCAGATAGTTATAATTTCTTATATTTAAAAAAAAAAAATCTAATTTTACTGTCTTCTGTCAGTGAAATATGTGAGCCTCTTTTCTCATCTATGTAAATGACATTTCTAAGAATTCATGGTTGCCATTTTTACATAAAAAAAA